AAGATTAACACTGGATATTAAATACTGACAAGATATGTAGTTCATGGCCATTTTACATCTGCCATGACTAAGAGAACAAGGCTAACGGAAAGGAAAATAATTTTGTCCTTTTTCTAACAGCCTACTATAGCAATATCATCTTTGTACCTCCACCCTCCTAGACTTGTCTAAAGGCTTGAGATATCCCAAGTTGAACTGGATTCTTTCACTGTCTGACTCTTACTTAACTTTCCTCTCACCTATATCAAGACCTAAAGTTAACTCAACAGAAGAACGCAGAGAGAAGCTGATCAAGCCTTACCATCCACAATTTTCATTTCTAGAGCTTAGAAAGAAAACTTACTATGATCCAGCCTTTTATGTAACACCCTGGGGAACTTGTTTCCAGCAATGCATGGACTATAGCACAGACAGGCCAGATTGAAGTAAAGTAGATGAAATTGACAAAAAACACAGACATACAGGAAAGGGTAAGTATGGATTTAACTATGTTCATTTCATCTTTCTACCTCTTTCCCCAGAAAAGTTAAGCTTCCAGTTATAAAGGAAGACGGGAAAGAGATAAACTACTTACATTCAGACAGCGGTTTGAGGACAGTCTGGCTTTTGACATCCGACTCTACAATTTCAATAGCTCTCCTATAAAAAAAAATTTCTAAAATTAATTTAGGCTGAGCCAAACCAAACACCCCACCAAACCACCAAGCTCAAAAACAGACACATGTTTTATAATTTTAAAGCCCCCAAACAAAACTGGGTTATGTCTCAGCTAAAGGGGATTTAGTTAGCTTGAAATAATTCATGGACCAGGGAATCTGAGAAACTTTCAACACGATATGGTTTCCTCTTATAGATGCCAAGTAGGTCATCATACATTAAGCCAATAATAACATTTTGAAGGAGGAAAAAATGTCATGGATAGCAGAGAGGCTATGTGGGCGGGTGACTGCCTACAGAGACCCAGTACCACCCATACACACTGGACCTAAAAGGGGAGTCCTCAGTTCTATATACATATGCTATGTGTAGGCTAAACCACACCAGCCTACATGACTATTGCTCATAGCTGCAGTCTTTACTCAAGTAGTTTGCTGACTAGGGGAAACTTTCAAATCCAGGATCATGCCATCTAGCAATAGGAAGAGCTTACTCTCCCACTGCTGTCTCCAAAGCACTTTGCCCACAGGAAGCCATAAGCCAGACCTGGATCTTTTGCATGGCAGTAGGGGGAGGTTGGACCAGTGGGCCAGCACAGTAAGTATCATTTTAATGGACCCAGTGTCCCTACTGGGAAGAAGAAATTTCATCCGTCAGCACAGAGGCTTTCCCCAGCAGGAGGGGCAGAGGATGGGAAGGGAGAGAGAGGTCTGGAGTACAAGTGTGGGAGACCACCAACCGGGGGAAGGGGTGCTCACAAAAGCAAAGGAAGGAAAAAGTCTAAAGGCAAAGATGGTTCAGGTCCATAAATAAACCTGCTTGAGACCAGCTAATGGAAAAGTAAACTGGAGTCTTTTTTAATACAAATGTAATTAACCAATCTATAATCACCACAGGGAGTGCCAGCAACATCTCATTTGTTTCTCCCTCTGTAGGTAATGGACTGATAATGTTTCAGACATTAACACGGTGGAAATGCAGAGCTCCCCACTGAGAAACAAGTCCCCCTTTCCAAGTGTAAAAAGTGGCAGAATACAGCCTCTTAAGCCATATTCACTTGAGTTACATGAGACAATTAACAGCATCTCTTTTTTTAATAAAAGCAGCCAACAGTGCCATAACTCACCTGCAAACATCTAGCGCTTTTCGAACATCTCCTGAAAGAGCAGAGACTTTTCGGGCACAGAACTGAATTGCAGCATTGTCCAGAACCTGAGCTCTAGATACCTTTGGACAAGACAAAGGAGATGACAGCATGAACTATAAGATTCTCCCTCTCTGTAATTTAGGTCCCAGACATAAATATTTTCACATTAAGTTTAAATTTGACTGGCCTCCCCTTAGGGTCTAAGAGATGCCTTTTCTGTTCATAAATAAATGGAAATTTCACACAATTAAACATTTTGTAGGCATGTGGTAGAGGCTCATGAGTAGTGGGAAAAAAGGAAACCAGAAATCAGCAAAACTAAACTAAACTAAAATTTCTTTGGTCATTTTCAAAAGAAAGTTTTTTCGCAGGCCCTATTGTTACAGGTCATTATAAGAGTATTGAGGGGTGCCTGGCCTGTGCAGTCGGAAGACTGTGCGACTCTTGATCTTGGGGTTGTGAGCTTAAGCCCCACATTGGGTGTAGAGATTACTAAAAATAAACTTAAAAAAAAAAAAAGAACCTGAGATGGTGACCTGAGCCGAAATCAAGAGTCAGAGGCTTAACCGACTGAGCCACCCAGATGCCACCCCTCCCCTTTTAAAAGTAGGCTCTCTGCCCATCGTGGAGCCCACTGTGGGGCTTGAACTCACAACTCTGAGATCAAGACCTGAGCTGAAATCGAGTGGGGTGCTTAAGTGACTGAGCCACCCAGGTGCCCCTCCTCTCTTGTTTTTATTCCAACACTGAGGCATCCAATAAATGGAGCCTTGGGTGGGAATTCATATAAAAATGTTCTCACGATGGCCCATAAGAACTCCCTGCTGAGGAAAGCAATCTAAGCAAAAAAAAAAAAATTTTTTTTAAGTAGGCTCTATGCCCAGTGTGGAGCCCAAAGTGGTGCATGAACTCACAACCCTAAAATTGAGACCTGAGCTGAGAGCAAGAGTCAGATGCTCAATTGACTGAGCTACCCAGGCACCTCTCTACGCAAAAATATTTTAGAAGGACTGTTTGGTTTCCCCACCAGAGGTGATCCAAGGGACACATAATGTAGTACAATGGGTGGCACTTACCAGATCAAGCCGATCCTGCAAGATAGTGGCTATCTGATTTTTGGTATAAGGTGGGAAGTTCAACAGCCGAGGCTTACACTTTTCTCTAGCTTGAAGCCTCGGCAGAATTCTGTCCGTGAGATCCAGGGTATTGGCAATACCTGAGGAGGAGATAAATACTACCAATCATCACAGTCAAATCATCTCAAAAGAAAACTAAACCCTCTGAAAGCTTAATACAATTTCCAGTTATAATCCAGCATTCTAACTGTTGCTTCCTACTCGCCACCCCACCCCCACCCCCACATTTATTAGGTAAGATATACATAGCCATTTTAGAATGCTCTTTTATTTTTTTAAGATTTTATTTATTTATTTGACAGAGAAAGACACAGCGAGAGAGGGAACACAAGCAGGGGGAGTGGGAGAGGGAGAAGCAGGCTTCCCGCTGAGCAGGGAGCCCGATGCGGGGCTCGATCCCAGGACTCTGGGATCACGACCTGAGCTGAAGGCAGATGCTTAACGACTGAGCCACCCAGGCGCCCCTAGAATGCTCTTTTCAAGTTAGGTTTAGAATTGTTCACTGATAAGCAGGACCAGATACTCCAAAAATCAACTGTCTCTGAAATGAAGTATTATGTCATTTCTATTCAGACTTAACAAAATTGATTTTAGATTAAAACTACTATTACTTTATAATAATTTGTTCATTTTGATAAAAAAGCAGAGGGGCGCCTGGGTGGCTCAGTCCTTAAGCGTCTGCCTTCGACTCAGCTCATGATACCCGAATCCTGGGATCGAGCCCCGCATCGGGCTCCCTGCTCCGCGGGAAGCCTGCTTCTCCCTCTCCCGCTCCCCCTGCTTGTGTTCCCTCTCTTGCTGTGTCTCTCTCAGTCAAATAAATAAATAAAATCTTAAAAATAAATAAAAATAAATAAAATAAAAATAAAAAAGCAGAAAGCTGGCTTAAGATAAAATAGGTGATAAGTAAGATGAACAGATGATTAAAAAAAGAATTCCTTAGACCCATCCTGTAACATTAGCAACTGAGCACTAACCAATCAGCACTAATCGAGAATTGCTTAGCCATGGCCATTCGAACAGTGTGTACAATACATCCTGCCCTTTGCTGTCCAACTGATCCACCTCGTCCAGCACCAACACACTACGTAGAAAGAGAAACAATTAGTATCCATGTTCACCTTCTTAACTTTCCCATCTGTTAGATCAGGGCTGACTGCAGCTCACATTCCTACAGCTGACACCAGTTTCAAGGTCATAATCTATCCTCTCTCCAGTCACTGTTACACTGATACCCCTACCATCACACAAAAGTAACATACAGGTTTTTCAAGCAATTAGTTTAAGAACATTTTTTCCAATTTAAAATTAGAAGGTGTATTTTTCCTCTCTTCTTTCCCTTTAAGCATATGTAACTATCTCTTATACAGCAAATATAGGAAATGTTCTTTTCTTGTACAAACTGATAAATTCAAGAGACTAGAATGTGAGTTTGTGGGCAGCAGACCTTGCAGATTTTCATGGAACAACATGCAGCAGAGCTGTACTTACATCATGGGGCCCTTCTCTGCAGTCATATGGTTTTCCAGTTTCTTCATCATGTCCTTCCCAGCTCGCCTGCATACTTCTTCCTGACAAATCTCCTGAGCAATAGCTGGGAATACAGCCTGGGCACTCCTCAAGGACATGCAATTCAGCATGATAGTTTTAAAGCCTTTCAGTTCCTTCTAGAAAAATGCAAATATGAGAGATATTTTGCCCTCAGATAAGGATTTGATGGAACCTGAAGTGTCTTTGGGGAGTTAACAGCATATAAGAGAATAAACTCTACTTTCATTTGGGAAGATTTAGACAATGAAACTAAAAACATCTTATTTGAGGGGAGACTTCAATCCCCTAAGCGCGTCTACCTTTCTTAACCCTTAATAACCAAGTGTCATTTTAGCAAGAGCATCGTATTTCAGACTCTTAGGGTACCTTGAGGTCTTGCAGAATTCGGCTTAAGCAGGCAGTTTTTCCAGTTCCAGGAGCACCAGAAAGATAAAGACTTCCAGCTTTTTTCCCACAGATGTGCTCCCTCAGGAAATTCCTGATGACATTCATCTCCTTTTCCCTGGCAGGCAGCCGATCCGGGACAGCTGTATTCAGGACCAGCTTTGCTTGCTGGTAGCAAGTGCCTGTGTCAGATGTGAAAGGACAATTAGATACAACAGAGATGACTGAGAAGATCCACTGGGTTTCATTTGGAGTCAACAGCCTTGTTTTCAAGGCTGCATTAACGGTTGCCATGTAAGAACGAACCTTCTTGCTTGAACAGTCTCACACATGCAGATTCTTTCTCCACTGGACATCTCTGCTCAGAATTTGTTGTGATCTCTTGACCTTTTCGAACTGAGGAATGGATTTTGTTTTGGTGAGATCTGGCTTGTTCTCTTTTGCTAGGAGACTTAATTGTCAGCTGATTGTCAAATACCAATCTGCGCCCCTTAGGTGAACGTGAGCAAGGGGGGCCATTCTCTTTCTTGCCTTGCTTTGGTGGAGAACAGGGTGGTAAATGGGGAGTGTTACACAGATTGTCATCACCTGAAATATATTAAAATCAAAACATGGTCATTCGTAGTAGTGGACAGTGAAAGGACTTGCAAAGATCTCTGCTTTTCCCAGAAAGAGGCAAATTTCTTTCTTCCTTTCTTTTTTTTTTTTTAAGATTTTATATATTTATTTGAGAGAGAGAACATAAGCAGGGGGGAGAGACAGAGGAAGAGGGAGAAGCAGGCTCCCAGCTGAGCAGGAAGCCCCACGTGGGGCTTGATCCCAGGACCCCAGTATAATGACCAGAGCCGAAGACAGACTCTTAAGTGACTGAGCCACCCAGGTCCCCCAAGAGGCAAATCTCTATAGTCAAAACCACCAAAACAGAATGCCTCTCATCAAGAAGCAAATATTGGTCACCAGATGGCACCACTGAATCTTACAACTATTTGGTAGAGAGCAAAGGGGTTTAAGTGAGATGAAAATGCTAAGATTGTTCTAAAACCCTGTTTCTCAATCTTGGCACCATTGTAATCTCGGACCAATTAATTCTTGTTGGAGGCTGTCCTGTGCATTGTAAAATGTTCAGCAGGATCCCTGGCCTTTATCCACTATGCCAGTAGCACTCCCTCAGTTGTGACAACCAAAAATGTCTTCAGATACTGCCACATCACCCTTCATTAAAAACAAATGATCTGGGCGCCTGGGTGGCTCAGTTAGTTAAGTGTCTGCCTTCAGCTCAGGTCATGATCCCAGGGTCCTGGGACTGAGTCCTGATTGGGCTCCCTGCTCAGCAGGGAGTCTGCTTCTCCCTCTGCCCCTCACCCCTGCTTGTGCTTGTTCTAACAATAAATAAATAAAATCTTTAAAAACAAATGATCTAGGGCGCCTGGGTGGCTCAGTTGGTTAAGCGACTGCCTTCGGCTCAGGTCATGATCCTGGAGTCCCTGGATCGAGTCCCGCATCGGGCTCCCTGCTCAGCAGGGAGTCTGCTTCTCCCTCTGGCCCTCCCGACCCTCCCCCCTCTCATGCTCTCTCTCTCTCAGTCTCTCTCTCAAATAAATAAATAAAATCTTTAAAAAAAAAAATGATCTAGAACAAAAAACCAGTGTTCTAAAACAAGAATATCACCTGCTTCTCTTAATTTCACCACTAATGAGGTGAAAGCTTCAAAATACTAGGTAGCTAACTGCAAAGTCACTTACAATACTGACAGAACTAAGTTCAAAATTAAGGAATTAATTCCCTCTCTCGCTGTGTCTCTCTCTGTCAAATAAATAAAATATTAAAAAAAAAAAAATTAAGGAATTGAACACCAGAACTGTGAAGCAGTTCAGAAAATGGTCTCAACAAGAGGCTTAACTCTGAAGTTCAGTAAATGAACACAGCAATCATTCTGAAAATAACCAAAGTGAACAAAGTGGTCTTAACCGAACTTAGGAAGCTGCTTCAAAGGACTAGGCATCTTATTATTGAGAAAAGAGGGGTCAACAGCTACCAGCCCAAAAGTTGTACTTATATTCAATGGATTGCTTACCCAGACGTTTTCTGGGGCTGAGAGGCAGAATTTTTACATTAGAACGGTGGGTGGCCTGGACATAGGTCAGTTCTAGTTTGGTGTCACCAGAGTTTTTAGCTTTGTCCAATGTCCGAGACAGCTTCTTTTTTGGAAAACTGATTGTAGCCTGTGACTGGGATCGGGTTTGAGGCATGACAGCAACACGGCTGGGTACAAAAAAAAGAACAGGACAGCCAGTCAATAGCTAAGAATGAAGGAAATATAGCTAACGTGGAATTTATACCAATGATCAACATTTCATAAGTAAATTATAACAATATTTTAGCATTCAGTTCTGCTTCACAGCCAAATCTGAGCAATAATAAACACTTATTGTCTACCTACTATGTGAAAGACTATTGTTATGCATTTTACTTTTATTTTATTCTTTTTTTTTTTTTTAAGGAATCTCTATACCCTACGTGGGGCTCGAACTCACGACCCCCCACCCCCACCCCAGATCATGAGTGGCACGCTCTACCGACTGAGCCACCCCGGCGCCCCTTAGGCACTCATTCATTTAAGTTTTACAACTACCCTAGAGGTCAGCACTCTTATTACCCTTATTTTACAGATGAGAAAACTCAGAGGTACAGAGGCCCAAAGTCATAGCAAACCAGGCATTCTGGCTCCAGAGCTCAAGTTCTTAACACTTGAGTGATGCAATAAGTTTATCTCAACAGATTTCTACGGTACTTCTAATTCCCTCACTCCAGGCACGGGGTGTGTCTTTATCACTAGCTTAGCCCAGCATCCTGCCACGTTTAGTCTTCCCTCCGCCCGGCACTCGGTCCCCACCCCACACCCTCTCAACCCCACCCCGGAACATCTCCCTCCTACAACATTCAGCCCCTTTATTCCACGCACGACTGCCAGCCTAATCCTTTCCCTTACCCCGACCTCAGACCTCCGGCGATCTGAGCTCTTCTCCCCTCACTTCACCTCGGGCCTCAAGGGAGGCAGCGGCCCTTGCCATAGCCCTTCTCCCAACTCCGCAGCCTCCCAGACCCAGGGCCTCCCCGAGCAATCCTCTGCTCTCCACCTCACAAGGCTGAGTCACCTCAGTACCGGCTCTTCCTCACGTCTCTCGCACACGGCTTCAGGGAGTCTTCAGGCCAAGCTACCGAATAAACTACACACCAGCGTCAGTAAAGCCCAGCCGCGCTCGCGCCAAATCTGCAAAGCCTCAGCTTTACCGCCTCCCGCCAAAGGCCGACCAGGTTTCTGATTGGCTGTCGCTAGAGCACCGCGCGCCTTGGCCAACGCCCCCTCCTTCGCGTCCAATCCGGTCGGAAGGACCACAACCAGTAAGGGAGCCCCAGGTCTCCGAGCCATTGTAAAGCCACGCCCACTGACTGAGAGGGATTCTACATCCGGGGCCTCCGCGGAAAGACGCAAGGTTGCGGAGGGAGCGATTCTGGGTAAGGCGAACCAGGATAGCCGCAAAGGGCAGCGGGAGATGTAGTCTTAGCTCACGCGACTCTGTTTCCACGCCCTTTTCCATGGGAGGTGCAGAGGATACGGTTGCCCCTTCTGGCGGCCAAACGTATCCATTTTCATTACCCTAACGGGATACATATTCAGTGAGCTACTACGTAACACCTATCATTTGGGGGGTGGTTCTGGTGCCAGGCAGAATACTAGTCACTTACCTACCTAATGTTCAACCCTGCAAAACTCACAAAGCCAACGTGTGGAGGGTTAATTAGAGGTCACAGCATCTTGGTGGCAGTGAAGAGCCTAGGACCCAGATTTCCTGACACCCAATGTTTTTTTGTCAAGTTCTACACATACATAAAGAAATATACTACACTTCATCACAGTATCTCTCTGATTTATGTTTCAAAGGTAATAGGGTCAGGTCTCTGCTTTTGTTAAAAATATTCTGTGCACCTTCTTATCGTTAATTCCATTAATCCACACACTGTGGAGAGTTGAGAGAATTATGGCCTCTTAATTTTAAAACCTTGTTTTATAGCTAAACACTAGGGTTTCAGGGCCAGGGAAGACCGCTATAGAAGAAGAGGCAAGCTGAGCTTTTAATGAAAAATATAAATTAGAGCAGTAATTTACAGGCCAGCCTCCAAAGTTAATAACCTAGCTAAGCCTCAGGTTCCCTTGAAGGCCAAAACCCAATTCTAGGTGATGGCAAGCATTTATCTTTCATCCTTCAGTTTCAAATGAAATAGAACAATGAAGCTGAGAAATAGGAAAATAACACTATTACAATTGCCAGTTAATTGTGGTTAGTTCATACAGGAGATAAGAGCAAATACTGAGTGTTCAAGTGTATGCCAGGCACTGAGCTCAAGTATTTTACCTACACCACCTTATTAATTCTCACAAGCACTGCATGAAGTTGGTATTATTTTCATTTTGCAAATGAGGAAACTGAAATAGGGGTGTTGAGTAAATTTGCCCAAGGTCACACAACCAGTAAGTGGAAGAACTAGCATTTGAACTCAGAAGTCTGACAGGAGCTCAAACACTTGACCACTTAAACATAGGAGGAAGTATTAGACGCAGGTCCTAAATAGGAAGCCTTCAGTACACTTCTAAATAGGAAGAAATGGGGGCTCCCGGCTGGCTCAGTCAGAAGAGCATGTGACTCTTGATTTCAGGGTTGTGAGCTCAAGCCTCATGTGGGGTATAGAGATCACTTAGATAAAGTTTTAAAAATAAATAGGAAGAGACAGTGAGGGAGCACATTTTGGGAAGGCTCTCTAGGAGCTGAAAACTACAATAGAGATTAGCTGCTGTGAATGGGAAAAGTGTTCCCACGGAATGGAGGCTTTTCGACCAGATGGCATTTCTGATCTCTTAATAGAGCAACAGAACCCAGGAAGCAATCTTCACTGTTCAAGTATTTTCATAATCTGGGCACCTAAAAAACATCCTTCATAACTTGAAGTGGTAACGTGTGTCCAGCCAACTTTAAGGGATAGTGGTGAAAACCTCCCTCGGTTACAGTGTGGCTAGAGAGAGCCCAGGAAGCAAAGAGTACTTAGTATTCAACCTGGAGCCTATGAAGAAAGAAGGAAGAAAAGCACTGGTCCAGGGTAAGCCTACAAGATTAAATGACCACTGTGGAAGCAGGCAGAGAATCACAGAACGTCCGGACTGAAAGGTCTCCATCAGGTTACCTACATGATGCTCTCCCTTTCTGATACTACAGGAACACACTGCACATGCCACCAGACTGTGTCTTGCTTCTGGGCCTCTGTCTTTGCTCTCTCCTCTGTCTGGAAGGCCACACACCATCCACCTTCCCGGGCTAACTGCCATAAAGCCTTTTAATAACCTACATATGTTTCTCTTGGTAGCTGCCTTGAAGTGTTCTACTAGACTCTGAGCTCCTTGGAGGCAAAGACCAGTCAGTCCTATTCATCTTCATATTGCAGGTGCCTGGCACAGAGTAAAGTATGCAATAAATGCTTGCTGCAGGAATGGAGAGGACATCCCTGCCAAATGAATTTCCACATTTTTCATGAACACTTTATGGCTGGATAGCACATAGTCCTTTAAATCTCATACCCCTAAACCTAGGAGTGGAAAATGAATTCAATTACGTGTAAAAGCGATCTAGATTGGGCTCCAGTGATGTCAGATGCGAAGCGTTTCTCTGCAGTTATCCTCTGGGGTGGTTAGGATCCTGAGGTTGACATTTTGGTTCTCTTACCTCTGTCTGCAGAGTAATAGGAAGTCAGACAGGCAGCATCCTTGCAGCTTCAGAGTCACAGTTTGTGGCTGTGCTGGGCCAGGAAATACTTAAAACAGGAACACTCACAATAAGCAGCTGTGTCTCAGTAATAATGAGAGTAGTGTCCTTATCACCTGCTGATACACAGTATCATGAGGGAAGGAATCAAATCACCCCGGAAGGACCTGTTCCAATAGCCTTGTTGTGTGTGTGTGCGCACGCACGCGCACACACACACACTCACACACAAACTAGCAATACCACCCCAACAGGACAGAGAAACCTTACAGGTTTATGAAGTTGAGGGTCATTCAGGCAAGCTCCATTTGAGGGCTATGTAAAGTCACAGGAGGAACAATTAAATCAATAAATAGGTAGTTTATTAATCAGATTAATAACAATAATCAGGGATTCAGCCAATCTGGCAAGTATGGATGAAAATGAAAGGAGGCCTTTTTCCCCCTCCCTCTCATAGGTTTTTATATCTAAATTACGTGAAAGTGATTCATACACCCACGCATTATGAATCAGTATGGGAAATAATTTCAAGACCTCTCCTAGTGATGAAAGTGCAAGGTGAGCTCATTAAGTCTTAGCGATGATTATGTCAGCTGACCACAGTAAGCAGAGAATGTCTGGCTCAGTTTTTACACCCCAAGTCAAAGTTCAAGAAAGCCAGCCAAGATTGCAACTTAAAAAGCAGGGAAGAAAAAAAGCCAACACCCACAATAAAAATAAACACAGTCTGTCTGCTCTGCCCCCACCTTTTCTCCCATACCTCAGTGGGACAATCTGCCATGCAACACAGGTAGAAAGAATCCTAAGAGATGTGAGGAGAGGACACAAGGCCAGAGCGTCTCCTGGGTCCCCTGAAATCATGGGCCTTGGGAAGGTAGGTGGCAAACATAAATGATGACCAAAACTACCAGAGTCACCCAGGTGAGCATGGTTAATGAGAACTATGATATTCAAAACACAGCAGGAAGGGAGAAGGGAAGACCCCTGGGAAGCTGCAGATGCTTCTGCCCAAGTCAGTGTAGCTACCTTCTTAGAGGTTCTAGAGTCAAACCACTACACTCACCAGAAGCAAGAGATGTTCTCCCCTCCCTATGCCACCACTGGAGGCGGTGTTCCAGACAAGAGTACACAGTTTTCAGGTTTTGGTTTTTGTTTTTAAGCAAGGTTTAATTAAACTGCACAGCATCCAGAAGAAAGAAATGTACCAAAGAATCCAACCTGAGACCAGATTATACATTGTAGAGGGGTGGGGGGGGTGGGGGGGGAGAGGAATCACTGCTTATTGGGAGGGAGCACTGCAATTGGGATATAACTCCAAAATAAATCATACAATAAATTATTTTTTAAAAGAAAACTGATCCACATGCAAAGATGGACACACACACACACACCACACACACACACTCGCGCACACACACACACTCTGCACACGTCACTCTAGTCTTTTATTCAGTGTTGACTAGGACTTCCATGCTGGTCCGTGGGAAAGGACAAAGGTTAGACATGAGAAAAGAAGGCTTGGCCCCTCTGCCACCAGTGGAATGAGATTTAAGACAATTAGAGAGGAAACCCACTAGGTTGTTAGAAACAAGAGTAGAAAGAAGGAAACAGTTATCAAGGAAGATTTTAATTGCTTCAGAGAGGAAGAAAGCACAGAAATCTAACACAAGTAAAGGCACAATGACCGTGGAGTTGAATGGAACCAAATCCTTCCTTCAGTTAAAAGTTATCCTTCTTTCTGTATGTGTTTTGAAGGTGGCTGTAGTTTTGTTTCATTTCGCTTTTAAGAGAGGAGTCTTGAAGGCAGAGTTGTAATGCCTTCCATTCCCTAAGTCAGGGTGGCTTACAGAAAGCCACCTTGACCACATTGCCAGGGACTGAGATTCAGTAGGGAAAGAAAGGCTACAACTGGAATGTGAAGAATCAGATTTACAGTTGATTTTAGGTTGGGTTTCCAGAAGGACAGACAGCTCAGTGTAGTGCCATCAAAGGGCCTCAGATGCCCTATACTCCACCCCCAGAGCTTTGCAGAAGGAAAGGACCCTGGAGTCACATTTTTCCCCCACTCCCATAAGCACTCAGCCTACAGATTATTTCAAGTGATCAGGAGAATTAAAACACACCCCAACCCTGAGTTGCTCTGTAGCAAGTCTATTTACAATTTTTTCTCACCTCTCCCTGGAGGTAAATCTGGATTTCAAGTTGGGAAGCTATGAGGTGAGGGGATGCCCCCAGTGCAATGACCAGTGGCTAGTCTCCTTGCCTTGGCCAGTTGGGAGGGCTGGGATGCATTTCTGGAGACAAGCAGCCTCACATCCATCAGGTTGGGTAGCCCTAGGCGCCCTCCTCTGGGAGCCCGACTGTGAGGATGATGGGGCTCTGCAGCTGGAGGAAATCCTCACAACAGAAAAACCACACCTGGAATATCAAAGTGATCTGATCCAAGTTTGGTCACCAAAGAAGAGGGGGGGAAGAGGGGCATCTAGCTCATTTAAAAATCTGGAAGCCACTGCTCTGCTTCCCTGAAAGGGCGGAAAGAAACAATTAAGTTTTCCCCACTAGAGAAAAACATCATAAAACCAAACCCACACAAGGGCTTATAACACAGCTTCCTGATGCTTAGTTGGGCAATGTCTCTTCCTTCTGGGAGGGAGGGAATAAGGGGGTTAATGGGACTGGGCAAGAGTCTCAACATGAGACCACCCAATCTTCCACTGAAGAGACGACATTCCCACAAGCAGATAAAAAGAGCAGTTTAAAAGGTGAGAAGTTTTAGTGCTCTTGCAGCCGGCCCACCTTAAATCTATATTACAAGCTTTTTACAACATATAAAATAGATCAATAACTATGAGGATCACATGCCCATTCTTCGATAGTAAATATACATGATAATAAATCTGTTATTAACAGAGGGACCAAATAATGTATAAGGCAAAGACATTTAAATAGGTACTGTGCCATCAACATGCTCTCAAGAAGAAAATCCGATTAGATCCAGGCCCAGGCCTTTTTTCATGAGGCCAAGAAAATGAGAATACAATCAATACCCATGTGACACAGTCCAAATGCTGGGGAATATGAGGGGCAGCAGGTCACAGAAGAGGAAGATATCAGCCCCAATGAAAAGCTAGGGTTTGGCTTTTACTTGTGATTCTTATTTTGATGCTTTATGTTTGCGTAAAGGAAAAAAAAAAGGATACACTTTAATAACATTATACAAAAGGCATCAACTCCCATTTCAAAAACAAATGGGAAGACTTCACAGTCCAAGTTCAGTAACTGGTCAGCATCTCCCCTGGAATTCTGCTGCAGGGTTAATTAACTCTTGTATTCTCTCTTTTTCCCTCCACTCGTGCGTGCCCTGTCTCAGCACTAAGGGTTTCAGAATGCTGGGGATACTGCTGAGAGATAACTGCTAACAGATTTGAAAATAAAAATGATAAAGAGAATGATTAGAAAAGGTATGGTGACAGACCTCAACATGGTTTGTTCCAAGAGTCGATAAAGTCCAGGGGATGGCAGAGGATAGCAGACCCTGTACAAAGAACCCAAGCCGAGAGCTCTCCCATCTGGCACGGGAAGACTTGGGTTTCTCTGGGCACCATGCACAGATCCTTAGTCTGTGATCCAAGAGATTGGAGAGGTCCTGAAGGCGATTTAAGCCTGTGATGTACCTGGTGAAAATTTTTGACTTTCCCCATCCATTTCAAGAATAGCCTTGGCTCCTTCCCTGCTCTCACCCCGAACTTTGAGCAGTCTCTGCACTTGGCAAGAGTTGTAGCAAACTAAACCATCTCACGTGTAGAGCCCAGGAGCTCCATCCTGCTGTTGGAGAATGGTGAAGTCCCGTCCCACCATCCAAGCTCAGTTCCTACCTAGACTAGGACCCTCTATTTCCTCTGTGCCCTTGAACTAGGACCTGGAAGACGAAGAAACATATTGCTTGCTGGCTGCCAAGGAAGATCAACTGAACTGAGGCACACCTCACCAAAGTCTTTGTGCTTCCTGGCACAGAGGAATCTTTGACTGTCCCCATAAGCTTCTTCACCCTTCTCTATTCTGCTATGTTAACCCCTGCAGTCTTGCGAAGGCAAGAGTAGTGGAGAAAGGAACAGGAAGTACCTGCTCAGTCAGATGGGCTGTGAACTTTGGAACAAGCAGGCCTTAAAATCCTTCAAAGCCCACAGAGTTGATCCCTTCCACGAGGTGCTTCACCCTTCCCTTGTCATCCTAGACACCCATCAGGGGCTAAAGTCTCTGAGCAGGCCGTCAGGGCCAGTCAGAAAAGACTTCAGAGGTGTCAAGGCCAACGCCCGATCTTTCCATCTCCCACTGCAGGGTTTTGGAGTTTGTGAATCCGTAATGAATCAAACTGACTTTTCTTTTGAGGGGACGGGCATTGCAGAGAGGAATAACAGCCCTCAGCCTCAGCACCCTGAGAAAACAGGCAAATGGGCAGGGAATCCCAGAGGACACAAATGGCTCCTGGCCCCTTTGCTGCAGAGAAACTGACTAGCTCTAAAAGGATCCCCAGTTTATTTCACCCTCTCCTTTTATTAGATGTTTAGTTCAACTGATTAGTATTTAGTATTTATAATATCCAACTTCTCCCTGGGGTGGTGGCATGGGGTGGGGTGAGAGCAAAACCAAAATACCCCTAAAAAGAAAGCAGACCCATTTCTTTGCCCTTTCTTCAAACTTGACCTTTTAAAATAGATCACTTCTCTGCAAATTCCTTTCCTGTTTCACTAAAAATGCCCACCCCCAAGAAGTCCTGGCCATGCCAGCCTCCCAAATGAGGAAACATAATATACCCACCACGCTTCCCCCACAGTGGGTAGGAGAAAGTAGGAGTACAATTCTCCACCCTGCCCCAACAATGAATTCATTCATCACAACAAGGCACCTTTCCCCAAGAGGAAAGCAGGAGACATGGAAACTTTTTCCTCATCTGGCTAGCAGGGCTTGCGAGAGGAGGCATGGATTCAGGGTTTGAGACCCTACTGTCAATATAAAGAGTCCAATCACCAAGTCTAGAGACGAGATGCATAGATGGAGGTGAGTGGGGAGGACGCTTGGTGTCTAGAGATGGGTTGCACTGGAGAAACACATCAGGAGCTCTCATGCAGGTTTCAGGGGAATGGAAGGGACCATCTGAGCAGAGGAGAGGGTCCATCCTTTTCCTGAGGAACAGGACCAAGCCGGGCTTCACCTGAGAATGGGTGGCAGAGGTGGGGCTCCACGGGCAGCTGAAAAATATAAAAATAAAAACCACATACATAAGGTCAACCACCAAACCCTGAGTAACCCAAACATTCCTGAAATGACAGGCTCTTTAAGCTAACCTTCAAAATTTAGGGACTGGTTTTGTTGTTTCCTTGTTTTATTAGAAAATGCAGATGAGGAGAAGCAAATTTTAATCTAAGAAAAACACACCAATTCTACTTTCTATGGAATTATGGAAATACTTTCATTGACTACTCTTCTCACCTCTATTCGTTTTGCTGGGATATATTCTCTGAAAGTGTTTATATTCTTCTGGAGCAGGAAAGTCTTCTACTGGATGGAAAGAATACTTTGACTCAAAATCATCTGGGAAAGGAACAGAATATTAAGTCATATCACCCTTCCTTGTGCTCCCACACATTCTGTATCACTTCTGAGCCCCCCACCCCCTTGCTAATCTCCCTCAAATTCTGATGGACCACTAGGGCCTCCCTGGCCCACTAAACCAAGGTTCCTGAGGCCAGCAACAGCATTTCTCTATGCACCTTGCACACACAGAGGATACACTCAGAGGCTCTTTACATTAAGGAATGAGTCTTTGAATTGGTTCTTCAAATCTTTCCACCAAAAATCAGGCACTTCACAGGAAAGGAGCCCAGCTGTTTGCATGGAGGAGAAGGAAATACAGTTCTGTTTCAGTTAACAGTCATCTTAGAGACTGTCACCATGGGAAACCAACTAAACTGAATCCACAGACTGGTAGACATTAACCTAAAATGGGAATTTCTGTCACCAGCTAGTGAGAGATCTAACTAGATAATTCCCCTCTGGCCCAGATTACCCTCATTTAACTCTATACAAGAGAGTTGGGGCAGCCATCTCACGGTCTCCACTCCCACTTTCTGTGGGCCCCTCTAGAAGGCTCAGATTTTCGATCGGTGTGGCTCAAACACATTCCAAAAACCCTGGCCCCCCAATTAGGAACAGCCTAGACTGGGTGCAGAGAAAAGGCAACCATTCAAGAACCTAGAATGTTAGGGTTGAAGGAGACTGTAGAGATCTTTCCAGGGTCCTCAACAGAGGGTCTGAGGAAACCCTACAGACAACCTTTGCTTGGGGCTCCATCCTAGACCCAACGAATCAGAATCTCTTATGTGGGGCCTAAGACTCATTTATAACCTTGAAAAAGTTAAATCTGATACACTTCTGATCTCATCAACCTCCTCATTTCACAGATGAGGGAAGTGAGTCCCAGAGAAGTGAAGTAACTTCTTCAAAGTAACACAGCCAGGTAATGGCTCTGTATTATTAATGTCGTGTACCATGGGTTGTTTTTGTTGTTGTTTTTTAAAGGTCCAGAAAAGGCCCTCTCTTTCCTAGGAAGATACATCATTCCTGTATGAATAATCCTGAAAAGGATAAAGTCTCTGACCTAAAAGCTAACCACAAATGATCCTTGGGGGGCAAGAGAGTATAGCTTTGGAGTTATTAGCACAACACCTCCTGATTTTACTTCAATCTCTTTTAAAGCAATCATACCTAGAATTCATATAAGACAAGGGATGTCAATAGAGGGGGCCCAGAAATCTGAGGGAAAGTCAGGAGAAGAACTGTTGTGAACAAAGGATACCCAATGACCATTCCCACTCTAGAGTGGCCACTGGAATTAGTGAAGTCACCACAGGAACTATGAGACTAAAACACCTAGTTACTTACCCAAGAAAGATCGGACAGTGGTAATAGAATCTCTGTGGCCATTCCTCAGGGGTGGTGGAGGAGGAGGGGGTGGTCCAGCTGGCGTCCTTGAGGGCGGAGGTGGGGGCTTTCCTCGGCTCAGGGGTTCTGACCCATGCATTCGGTACGGTGGGGGGGGAGGGGGAGCATCCCTGGCACCATTTCGGATCATGGGTGGCGGGGGTGGAGGAGCTGCAAGCAAAATCCAAAGCAGTTAGGTTGGGACACACAGACAGTGAGGGGTGGGGCAATTTGAGAGATGTGGTCTAAGAGTGCCTTGGTGCCTTTCCCAAAGAGCAGGGCTCTGGGAGCCTCCAGGCAGCATGTCGGGTATCAGATTCAACCTCCTCTCACCCCTATTTAACAGCGGGAACATTCTTCCAGATCTCAAAGTCCGGAATAAATGTGTGACCCTTTTCATTTCCTGTGACAAGTCAGTCAAGAACTGCCTACTTTTGATGGTCTTTTCCCCGCCTTTCCATGCCTTCCTCCACAATCCTAATTCAAAGCTTTCTCATATTTAGCCTGTTCTACTGCAAAAAGCTTCCCAAATGTTCTCCTTGCTTCTCATCTCTTACCAATCCATTCTGCATACCAACTCACTAATCTCCTCCAAAATACTTGCTCAAACTTTTCCAAGGGCTTTGCATTTCCTCTATCATGAAGTTTCAAATCCTTAGCTTCAACCCCAACTGGGTCTCACCCCATCATCCTCTTTTTTTTTTTTTTTAAAGATTCTATTTATTTATTTGACAGAGACACAGGGAGAGAGGGAACACAAACAGGGGGAGTGGGAGAGGGAGAAGCAGGCTTCCCACGGAGCAGGGAGCCTGACGCGGGGCTCGATCCCAGGACCACAACTGGAGCCGAAGGCAGACACCTAACGACTGAGCCACCCAGGCGCCTCCTTTCTTACACAGTAACTTACCATGCCAGGCAGCCTGATTTCACCTTGTCCTCTTCCTTGCTTGATTCCTAGGCTGAGACTCCCACTGTTGCCTCTCTATCTCTCTACTACATCTTGTATTGTAATTTTTCATTTTATGTGCCTCTTCTCCAGCACACTAAGTCAGGGTAGTGCCATTCATCTGAGTTCCCAAGCTCAGCCAAATGTACAGCACACAGTAGGTATGCAATCAACATGTGCTGACTAAACCAAACCACATATGCTTGGCTCATGTGACTCCCCCAAAAGAAGCATAAATGAGATCCGTCTTCCCTTACTACCAAACCCTACCTCTCCTTTAAGATTCAACTCAAGCCCCATCTTCTACAGGCTTTCCCAAAGCAATGCACTCTATTCTAATCCCCTCCTTCTTTGTTCTCCCATAGCATTTATAGGCTGTGTCACTTACTCTAGCATTTAGTAGTACAGACTAAAATGAGTGATTCTCAAAATATGTATAGTAGGTTCATCTGCAGAGTTGCATATCTCCAATGATAGGCTCCTTGCTCAGAAAAACTGGGAATGCCTCTTTGGGAATTGTCTCCAAACTCAGTTTCTAACCAGGCAGATCCGTAAATATTATATGATGTTCATATCTCATTTTTCTTTTTTTAAAAGATTTTATCTATCTATCTATCTTACAAAGAGTGCATGCGCGCATGTGTGCAAGCTTGGGGGAGGAGCAGAGGGAGAGGGACAAGCAAACTCTGTGCTGAGCGCGGAGCCCAACGCGGGGCTTAATCTCACGACTCCAGGATCATGACCTGAGCGAAACCAAGAATCAGATGGTCAACTGACTGAGCCACCCAGATGTCCCTCGTATCTCATTTCTGAGGTTGCACAACCATCAATAAAAATATTCATACCTACGTCTCTTTTCAAAAATCAAATTCACTCTTAAAAGACAAAAATGTGGGGCGCCTGGGTGGCTCAGTTGCTTAAGTGTCTGCCTTCGGTTCAGGTTATGATCCCAGAGTCCTGGGATCGAGCGCTGCGTCAGGCTCCCTGCTCAGTGGGGAGTCTGCTGCTCCCTCTCCCCCTGCCCCTGCTTGTGCGCTCTCTCTCTAGCTCACTCTCTCAAATAAAATGAAATCTTAAAAAAAAAAAAGATAAAAATGTGTCACCAAGCAGAAGGTAACATCAAAAACACATATGAAGACATGGCAACATCACTGGAATAGGCTCTAAGTAAGGTGTTTGTATTATGTTGTTCTATTCTTTTCATTAACTAACGAAAAGAGCAGCTACCATTTATTTGGTTTCTGTTATATTCCAGGCACTGTCCCAGGTACTTTATAGGCACTGCACTTTAAAAATTCTTCCGCCACTCCTGCAAAGTATGTGGTATTATCCCCATTTCACAATGAGGAAACTGGGACTCAGGCTGTTTGTCTGAGGTCACAAATTTAATAGACTCAGCACACATCTGCTCTTTCCACTATGCCCACACTGCTTTACTTAACTACCCTAAGTACTATATTAACTCCCCCCAAAATGTATAACCCACTGAGACAGAAGTTTATCTTCTGGTACCAACGCCATGTCCAATAAATAGTTGTTTCCTAAATAATACATGGAGAGACTACTCAGCTTAACAGACAACACTGGTTTAGTGATAAAGGGTGTATCATCATCATCATCTTTTTTTTTATAAGTACGCTCTACACCCATCGTGGGGCTTGAATGCATGACCCTGAGATCAAGAGTCACATGCTCCTACCGACTGAGCCAGCCAGGCGCCCAAGAGTATTATCTTCTTATTCCTCCTGAACTACTGTTGGAATTTCTGTAGAGTGACCGCAGTTAAGAAAGATGCAGTAATGGGATAATTTATGTAGACAAGGGGTCCAGCACTGCAGGCCCAGTAAATGTTAGTTTTCACTTCCCCTAAGATGCACTCTGAATGTCTCCTTCACTCTTTTCAAGGTTTAAGTATGGACAGAGGCTATTAGAAGCAATAACTAAAGAGAAGCCTCCTTACCACCACCTAGCTGATCTCTGAACCTTGATTTCATCCCAAATCTGCCCAAACCAAAGCTCTTTCAGGTCACCTTCAAAATATTTCCCTAAAACCCAGATTTCTCAGGACCCTGAGTCTGTATCTATTCTAGGGGAGGTCAGGGAGTGTAAGGCAGGGTTAGCCAGGCTCAAAAGGACACCAGCTAGACACTGGGCAGGTGGCAGTGATTAGAGCCACCCCAGACTGGCCAAATAGAGCAGGACTAAGAGTAATCTGCCCTCCCTCAGGGACGGTCATCCCAACCAGGTTCTGCCATCTCCAGTAAGTTTCTGAGCTCTTTGTCACATACAATTTTAGGACCCTTTCAAGTGACAGAGCTGGAACCCAAGGACTGTAAGAAAGAAGCAGTTTGTAGAAGAAACTTCGGGGTGGGAGATCACCTTTTGTAAACCTAGAGAAACCCAATTTTGAGGAAAGCAAAAAATAAACAAATGAACAAAATTTAAAAATTCCCTTAAAAATAGTGTGTTTTAGGGCGCCTGGGTGGCTCAGCTGGTTAAGCGACTGCCTTCGGCTCAGGTCATGATCCTGGAGTCCCTGGATCGAGTCCCGCATCGGGCTCCCTGCTCGGCAGGGAGCCTGCTTCTCCCTCTGACCCTCCCCCCTCTCATGTGCTCTCTCTCTCTCATTCTCTCTGTCTCAAATAAATAAAAAATCTTTAAAAAAAAAAAATAGTGTTTTACTCTGCAAAGAAAAAATTCAGAAACCCTATGGACCAATAAAATTGGTCCCTGAGCACCCTGGGAAGACAAAAGACTCCATACTTTTTCAAATGTAAATAATTCATATAGAAACAAAAGTATATTATCACATAATATTGTCATATGATTTAATAACAGAGATAAATCCATGAACTACCTGGAAACCCTTGCATAAAACCATTAACAGTTATCAGCATACTACAGTTTACAAAGAACTTTCATACATACTTTTATTTACAACCACCCCTGAAGGTGTACTATGAACACGTGAGGAAACAAACTCAGAATCAGGGGCACCTGGGTGGCTCAGTCGTTAAGCGTCTGCCTTCGGCTCAGGTCATGATCCCAGGGTCCTGGGATCAAGCCCCACATTGGGCTCCCTGATCCACAGGAAGCCTGCTTCTCCCTCTCCCACTCCCCCTGCTTGTGTTCCCTCTCTCGCGGTCTCTTTTTCAAAAAATAAATAAAATCTTAGAAAAAAAACAACAACTCAGAATCAGAGCTATCTTCCCAATGTCACACAACAAAGAGAGCCAATACTCACAAGATCTCTGACTAAAATATCTCAATTTTCTCTCTGTGTTATCACTCTAAGAACTGCTGCTCTGGTTACAGAGATGGAAAGCTGGCCAAGGCCTCCATCAGGTCTCAAAGTTGGTGATGGCTAAGGGACAAAAGAACAAAGCTCATAACTTCACATTTTTCTGAAGAAACCACAAAGAAAGAACAGCGAAGTGGGAAGCAAGTCTGCAGACATTTAAAACTACTCAATTCAGGATGCATGGCTGGCTTAAGTCGGTAGAGCATGTGACTCTTGATCTCGGGGTCTTGAGTTCAAGACCCACATTAGGCCTACAGTTTAGTTTAAAAAAATTAAATTAAATTAAAAAAATAAAACTACTCAGTTAAACCCACAGAAATTATATTTTTCCCCGCTTCTATTCCTGGATAGGATTAGAAAGATATGGGCTCTGCTTCGCTTTAGAGTTTTAAAAAAAAAAAATCCCTGGGACGCCTGGGTGGCTCAGTTGGTTAAGCATCTGCCTTCAGTTCAGGTCATGATCCTGGGGTCCTGGGATCAAGTCTGGCATTGGGCTCCTTCCTCAGCAGGGAGCCTGCTTCTCCCTCTGCCTGCCGCTCTCACTCTCTCTGACAAATGAATAAATAAAATCTTAAAAAAAAAATCCCTGGGGCGCCTGGGTGGCTCAGTTGATTAAGCGCGTCTGCCTTCGGCTCAGGTCATGATCCCGGGGTCCTGGGATCAAGCCCTATCGGGCTCTCTGCTCAGCAGGGAGCCTGCTTTTCCCTCTCCCTATGCCTGCTGCTCCCCCTGCTTGTGTTCTCTCTCTCTCTCTGTCAAATAAATAAATAAAATATTAAAAAAAAAATCCCTAAGTTAAAAAATCATTTTTAACCTAAACTTTGTAGAATCAAAGGCCACCTTAGGACTAGGATTCTTATGGCTAAAGCCAGGGAGACACGGGGGCAGGAATGTACCAGGTTACCGTACGACTGCCGTATGCTGGACTGCCAGCTCCCGGAATACAAATCTCTACGTACCTCACCAAGCAGCAGCACAGGTTAAAGGGCTTTCAATACGTGCTTCCTGATGACTTAATTTCTTAATCAATGATCCAAACCTGCAAGGACTGTTTAAAAGCTCAAAAGCCATTTGTGGAGGATGTGGCTCAAAGTCCAATGATAAAAGAGGACACCAGAGCCAAAATTCCTGAGTCTAAGAAGGTCCCAGACAGCTTCATGGTCTCCCTAACTCTCTACTTTCAGTCATGCTATTTTGTAAAAGGACTACACAACCTCTTCTTTTTCTAGAGCCCCTTAATCCCCTCTTCACCCAGTTTAGGCTCATGGTCCACTGTTAAAATCACTCCCTGACCTACACCCTTAGCTTCCCTGCCCCACTCTCCCTTAGTGCCCCACATGCCTAAAAAAGCTAACCTTGGTTAAACACCAGGCTGCCACTACTCAGCACCTGCAAACACATAGCTGAACACACACTGTGCTAACCTCACTTTGAGGGTATGGCTCCTAATCCTGAGTTAGCCTTTCATGCTGCTGGTTATCCCAGCACACTTCCCCACCCCCTTCACTCTCCCACGTTCCCAGAGGACCACTTCATGCCCCTCTCTCTCCTTCCCTCTCCTCATTCACAGCAGATGTCCTTGTTTTCTATTTCACCAATAAGAAACAAACCAGAAGGGGCACCTGGTTGGCTCAGTCGGTTAAGCATCTGCCTTTGGTTCAGGTGATGATCCCAGAGTCCTGGGATGGAGCCCCATGTCCGGGCTCCTTGCTCAGCAGGGAGCCTGCTTCTCCCTCTGCCCTTCCCCCTACTTGTTCGTTCTCTCTCTCTCAGATGAATAAAATCTTAAAAAAAAAAAAAAAAACAGGGCGCCTGGGTGGCTCAGTCGTTGGGCGTCTGCCTTCGGCTCAGGTCATGATCCCAGGGTCCTGGGATCGAGTCCCGCGTTGGGCTCCCTGCTCGGCGGGAGGCCTGCTTCTCCCTCTCCCATTCCCCCGCTTGTGTTCCTGCTCTCGCTATCTCTCTCTCTGTCAAATAAATAAATAAAATCTAAAAAAAAAAAAAAAAAAAAACAACAAATAAACAGAAGAAACTTTGCACATGCTCCTACCACTATGCCTACCTACCCACTTACATCTATGACTATGCACTCTGCCTTCCCTCCCTGTTACCATGGAAGAACCGTGTTCTTATCTAAGGTCAACCCATTACCTATGGATCAGATTCCATTCCTTTTAGCCTTTTAGGGAACATTACTCAGGCAATCTCCCCCCTTTCTACTGTATCATTTCATCAGTATACAAACAGATGCTGAAATCTCTCTCATCCTGGAGAGGAGGGGTCCCAACCCTCAATCCCACATTCTCCTCCAGCAACCATCCCATTTATCTGCGCCCCCACCCCTGCTCCCCTTTAAGCAAGCTGAGATTTATACATTGCTATCTCCAATTCCTCTCTCCCTATCCCCAAGTTCCCAAACACGTCTTAGACTTTCACCCTCATCCTCCACCACTCCGCTGAAACTACCAAAAGGATATTATGTTGTTTGGGGGTCCCCCCAAAGGACTCCATGTTGCTAAGACCAATGCCATTCTCAGTTTTTAGTCCTGGACACAGCTAATCACTCCATCTTGGCATCTTTCCAGCATCCTCGTTTTCTTCCTCACTAGGGGCTCTTTCTTAGCTTCCTCTGCTTGCTACTCTCCATCTCTGACCTCTACTATAAAGGCCTCAACCTCTTCTCTATCTAGACTGACTCCCTAGGTGAGCTCACCCAGCATGTGGTTTTCAGTATCATTCAAATTTCTCTAGCCCAGATCTTTCACCTCAACTTCAGAGTCTGACAGACATCCAAGAGAAAATAATGAACTGGTGTTTGGCTAACAGGCATGTCAAACTTGACTTGTTTGAAAGTGAACACCTGTCTTCTTCCCCCAAAACCTGCTGCAGTCCTACCTACCTGCCTGGTTTACTGCAACAGCCTCCTAAGTGGTCTCCCTTGCCACCTCTGTCCCCTGCAGTCCGTTTTCAACACAGGAGTTTGTCAGCCTTTTATTTTTATTTTATTTTAAGATTTTATTTATTTATTTGACAGAGAGAGTACAAGCTGGGGGAGCAGCAGGAGGAGAGGGAGAAGCAAGGAGCCCGATGCGGGGCTCAATCCCAGGACCCTGGGATCATGACCTGAGCCGAAGGCAGAAGCTTAACCGACTGAGCCACCCAGGCACCCCGAGTTTGTCATCCTTTTAAAAGCTAAAGCAGGGGTGCCTGGGTGGCTCAGTCATTGGGCATCTGCCTTTGGCTCAGGTCATTATCCCTCATGATCTCAGGGTCCTGGGATCGAGCCCCGCATCTGGCTCCCTGCTCAGCGGGAGGCCTGCTTCTCCCTCTCCCACTCCCCCTGCTTATGTTCCCTTTCTTGCTGTCTATCAAATAAATAATCTTTAAAAAATAAATAAGAAAAAATAAAAGCTAAAGCAATGTTTCTCCTCTGTTCCAACGGCCTCCAGTGGCTCAGCATTTCACCGAGTAAATCCCAGTCTTGACAAAGTCCTACAGCATTCTCCTGTGGAAATCTAGCTTCCTGACCTCCATGTCCCGCCACTCTTCCCCCCTCACTCATTCCAGTCCTGCCACAATGGCCTCCCCGCTGTCCCCAGTCTCAGGGCCTTTGTATTTGCTGTTCCCAATGCCTCAATAGCTGTTCTCCCAGATAACTGCTTAGCTTACTCCATCACTCTCTTCAGGTCTTTGCCAGATCGTTACTCTATCAGTAAGGCCTTCCCTAACCCTACTCTCACCCACCTCTGCAATAAAAAATATCACCATCACCCTCCACCTCAGTATATCTTATTCCCCTTCTCTGCTTTGTATTTCTCTAAAGCATCTACATACTGTGTCTTTATATATATGTATGTATGTATTTTTTTATTTTTTTTTTTACTAGTTTATTTGCTTGACTGTCCACAGAGAACAGGAATCTTCTGTCTTTTCTACTGATTGCTGTTTCGCTAAAAGCAGTCTTACACACAAAAAAGCACTCAGTAAACCTGTTGAATGAGTAAGTGAATTCTTTTTTCTCTTCAATCGCTGAAGGAGAGCTTTGGAGAAAAGGGTGAGAAGAGAAACTCAATTCTCCGTCTGACAGGAAGAAAAGGTGCTTCCAGGCACTTACCTGCTCCCCGACTGGGAGGGTCCCGGGCTGGGGGAGGTGGTCTATTACTCTGTAGCGACGGGGAGGCTGAGGTGGGTGGAGGAGGCGCTAGGCCTCTGACAGGCCCCGATGTCTTCCTATGCAAAGAATTGTGTCTCTGTGGCAGCTCAGGGGCTGACTCATTAGTGGGACTGGAGGGTCCATTGGGGACCCCAGGAGGCTGGCGGTAAGGCGGAGGAGGAGGAGCCAGAGACTGGCCACTTGGTCCCGTTCTGATATTCCCAGGGGAAGGGGGTGGTTTCACTGGGGGTGGAGCAGGAGGTCCCTCCCGACCAGGGTGCAGCCTCTGTCCAGGTGTGGGCGGCAAGGGTTTCTCTCTGTTGTAGGCAGGGGCTTTGCTGCTGTGCATGGGCAGAGGCGTCGGGGGTGCGTTGGCACGCCGCCCCGGGGGTGGCGGAGGAGGGGCAGAGGAGCTGTGCTTCATGCCTGTACTGCTGGTGGTATTAGGCCGAGAGAGGTCCGGTAACGAGGGTCTCTGCATCCGGGGTAGTTCTGGGAGTGAGGCTCGGCTGCCGTCTGTATCATCTTGAGGGCGCCCACTGGCTGTAGACACCGGTGGCCTTGGGGCAGCAGCTCGAGAACTGGGGACTTGTAGGGCTGGCTTACCAGCTAGGTTCTCTACAAATACACCAGGTAGCATGCGATCAACAGAGCTAGATACGTGTTAGTCAGTATCTCTGCTTCACCCAGCCTCCTTAGTGTAACCTGCACGGTAGCAGGTTAAATACCTGTATAGTTCTGGATTTTAATCTGGTTTCAGGCTCAGGGCTCACTGACAAATACTGCTGATACAAGTTGAACACATTTTTACTTAACCCCTCAGCTTTGGCTTTATTCTGCTCTGTAACTCCTCCCCTGCTCCCACTTCTCCTTCCTCCCACCTCTACCACACACCTGAACCCTAGATGACCCACTTGGGACTAGTCAGAAATTAACGCACTTGGGAAATACCCTAAGAAAGTACTGATCAGATACCTGAAACGTCCTTGGCTCCCACAGGTCGGAGCTTCGGCACTCCCCCTTGGAAGAGACCTCCCTTGGGCTGCAGGGCAGCTGCTCCAGAGCCATAAGCACCACTGCTTCCTTTTGGTTCTGGAAAGCATACCATTAGGGTTTTCACTTCACATGCTGGGAGCTGGTGAGCAAGTCAATCCTGAGTAGAAACCCCTCCTCTATTTAGGCTTTAATTTGAAAACAAAGCGACCCTGCTTTTGCATTAAAAAAAAAAAAAAAGGCTAGGCCTCTCAGCTCCACACCTTCAGGTAGAGATGAAACTCTTCACTGTGATGAAAGAGAAAGAACATAAGGAACAAGGAGCCAAACTTCCCTCATTTAGGAAAGGCAAAGAGAAAACCAGGATCAAGACACTTTCAGCAGAGTTCTCTGGGCTCTCCTCTCCAAGTCCCATATGGTAAGGGGGCCAGGGACTTAGGGATCCAGGTGTGAGCAAACTCTCCAGAGGCCTATCAGAATGGACACTTGTGGCAATTATAAAATCTTCACTAGCTTCAGCTTAGCGGTTTTTAGTGACACGATGGTCTCCTCAGAGAACAGCCAAGGATGTGCCCTAACGAGAGCACTAGTTACCGTAGGAGATGGGAGTCTTTCCCCAGAGAATACTTCCCAAAGGTCAAAAAGAAACTTCTAAGGTATTCAAATAAAAAGATGTGAAGACAGCCAAAGAACATTCAAAGAAAACTCTCCTAAAGGACAAAATGTTCCCAACAAAAATGACAGCCAAGTCTCCAAGTCAATCCTGGGATCCTGGTGGCTCACTAGGAAATGAAGATTATTAGACTCACTCTCAAGGATGGGAGCACTCCGATCATTAATGTTGGTCACCTTCTTCAGCTTGGTCCCTTTGCAGATGTCCTGTAAGAGGGCACCTCGATTCCGCTGCTCATCTCTACTCAGCTTGGGCTGCTCTGTGTGTGCCTAGAGGAAGAGGGGAAAATATAACTATTCATCCTAAATAGTTCCCTCTACCAGGAGCTTGGGATAAATACCTTAAGCCAAGCTGGATTTCATTAATGCCTCTCTAACCTAATCAGATCCTGCACCAAATATCCGTACCAATGTGCGCTCTCATTCTTCTTAGTCCTTCTTCTGTTGTGCCTTCTGTGAAGGGTGCAGGTCCTATTCAGAAGCTCCCAAAAGGAGGCCTTATCTGGGGCACCTGGGTGGCTCAGTCAGTTAAGTGTCCAACTTTTGATTTCAGCTCAGGTCATGATCTTGAGGTCATGAGATCAAGCCCAGGCGTAGAGCCTGCTTGGGATTTTTCTCTCTCCCTCCTCCCAACCCTCCCCCCCCAATCTCTCTCTCTTTAAAAAAAAAAAAAAAGAGGCCTTAGGTAATACTGAGTACCTGTGTGCTGGGCTTGTGTGTTAGAAGCTTTACATGTATGAATGCAAACACTGACTGAGTCCCTACTATGCCTCAGGCTAAGCATGTTACTTCCATTATCTCATTTAAATCTTGAAATATTTTTATGAAATAAGTATTATTATCATAACCCATTTGGAAAGTGCAAATAGTTGAAATGTTTCCTGAGGCTATGCACCCAATAAATAGTAAAGCAAGGATTCCAACCCAGTTGATTCCAAAATGCCTATTGTATCTCAATTAACAGACCTTATTGCTTCCCTATTACTTTATATTCCTTTTTTTTTTTTTAAAGATTATTTATTTATTTGACAGAAAGAGAGAGAGATAGCGAGAGCTGGAACACAAGCAGGGAGAGTGGGAGAGGGAGAAGCAGGCTTCCCACCGAGCAGGGAGCCTGATGCAGGGCTCGATCCCAGGACCCCAGGATCATGACCTGAGCCGAAGGCAGACGCTTAACGACTGAGCCACCCAGGCGCCCCCTTATTACTTTATATTCTAAACAATGTTATAAAATAGACCATACTGGGGCACCTGGATGGCTCAGTCGCTTAGATGTCCGAGTCTTGGTTCCAGCTCAGGTCATGATCTTGGGGTCATGAGATCAAGCCCCGTGGCATGCTCCACACTCAGTGCGGAGTCTGCTTGTCCCTCTCCCTCTGCTCCTCCCCCTGCTCATGTGCACAAACTCTCTCTCAAATAAACGAGTCAATAAAATCTTTTAAAAATAAAGTAACATAAAATAAAATAGCCGTATTATTCCCATTCCAAAGATGAGGAAATGAAGGTTTAGAAAAGTTAATGTCACATAGTTAGTAAATGCAGAGCTGGTCTGATTATGTCAAAGCCCATGCCTTTCCCATTTACCCTATGGTCTCTTCCAACATCTTATTTCTTTTTGAGTTCTTCACCCTCCACCTACCTCTTAAATGCCATTTCAGAGTCCTATCCTCAGCCTCCATCTAAATCCCCCCGAGCAAGCTCACCTGGTCACAGGGTTTGAATATTGCTGAAAAGCCCAAGTATCTCAAATCTTTGTATCTCATCGCCACTCCTGGCCCTGAGCTTCACACCCATATGTGCCAATGTCCACAGGACATCTTCAAATGAATATCCCACATATACCTAAAATGCAACACATCAGACCATGTTCCTTACACAATTTTTAAATGTAGAGCTTTTTAAATTAACCACACAGTGGAATTTTTTGGAAACCATTAAAAAATGATTCTAAAATCCATCTGGAAGATTAAGTATAGGAAAAAAAACTAAGAAAATGGGACTAGTACCACCAAAAGCTAGGACCAGGAGCACAGGGACAGACAGCCAGATAAATGGAAAACAGAAAAGTCCATAAACAAACCTACGTCTACATAAGAAATAATAAAAGTGGGGGTGCCTGGGTGGCTCAGTCAGTTAAGTATCTGCCTTCGGCTCAGGTCATGATCCCGGGGTCCTGGGATAGAGCCCCATGTCAGGCTCCCTGCTCAGCGGGGAGTCTGCTTCTCCCTCTCCCCCCAACCCTCCCCTCTGCCCATGCTCTCACTAGTTCTCTCCCTCTCTCTTTTAAATAAATAAATAAAAATTCTTAAAAAGAAAAAAAGAAATAATAAAAGTGTATTCCAGCAGTGCAGAAAACACAGACTATTAAATATAAGCTACTAATAATAACTGGCTAAGTTTGGAGAAAAAACAATCAAGTTAAATCCCTACCTTATAGTTTACTCTCAAATTCTAGTTGAGTTATAAAACATAAATGTAAAAAACACCCAGAGTACTATATGAAAAAAATAGGTAAGGGGAAGGACATGACAACTAAAATACAAGGAAAGACTGGAAGACTTGTTTATTATAAATTATTTACTTAGGAATATAGTAAGTCAATGATAGACTGGAAGGAAAAAGTCATCTGTGACACACAAAGGTAGTGTCCTAACTCTATGCAACATTAACATAAAGATGACTTATAAATCAATAGGATAATAAGCAAAGGATATAAACACTGTGTAAAAGAAATCCTGGAGCCAGCAAATATGGAAAAAAAAATTAAAAATGCAGGCTAAAACACAGTATCATTATTTACCAATGAAACTGGTAAAAGTTAAAATTATAACAGGAGACTGCTAGCTTCATGAAGGCAGGGTCTACGGCTCACTGTTGTACAGTGCCTGGCACACGGAGGATGCTCAAAAAAATGCGCAGAATACGTAACTTCGTATGGTGGTCGTAAGGATTGAGGGGAACAGGTACTCTTTTGTATTATCCGGAGGAAGCTAAATTAGTATGATCTTTCCAGTTTATGTATCAAACACCTTTTTTTTTTTTTGAGAGATGGTGGGGAGGGGCAAAGAGATAGGGAGAGAAAGAATCTTAAGCAGGCTCCACGCCAAATGCAGAGCCCGACACAGGGCTGGATCTCACCACCCTGAGATCATGACCTGAACCGAAATCAAGAGATAAGACACTTAACCGACTGATCCACCCAAGCACCCCTTGTACCAAACACCTTTAAAAAGTCTACACAAGGGGCGCCTGGGTGGCTCAGTCATTAAGCATCTTCCTTCGGCTCAGGTCATGATCCCAGGGTCCTGGGATTGCGCCCTGCGTCTGGCTCCCTGCTCCGCGGGAAGCCTGCTTCTCCCCTCTCCCACTCCCCCTGCTTGTGTTCCCTCTCTTACTGTGTCTCTCTCTGTCAAATAAATAAATAAAATCTTTAAAAAAAAATTAAAAAATTAAAAAAATAAAAAGTCTACACAAGAATTGTACCTACGAATTAACTTTAAGAAAACAACTAGAGAAGGGGCGCCTGGGTGGCTCAGTTGGTTAAGCGACTGCCTTCGGCTCAGGTCATGATCCTGGAGTCCCGGGATCGAGTCCCGCATCGGGCTCCCTGCTCAGCGGGGGGTCTGCTTCTCCCTCTGACCCTCTTCCCTCTCGTGCTCTCTCTCTCTCATTCTCTCTCTCTCAAATAAATAAATAAAATCTTTAAAAAAAAAAAAAAGAAAGAAAACAACTAGAGAAGTACACAAAGATGTTATTAATAGCATAAAACTGAAAATAATCTACAAGTTCAATCAAAAGGAACACTGATGGCATAAGCATAGAAGGGAAAATGCCAGTTAAGCTCTTAACGATGTTGAAGTATCTTTAGACAGCAAATGTTTGACACAATCAAGTAAAGAATATTACAAAACATTTAACAAGATTAATATTCTCTTCTATATAATAGGAATAATAGTAAAACCTATCTCACCAGGTAGTTTTGACAATTAAATGAGATAATAACACTTCTCAAGGGCTTAGCACAGTGTCTGGTGCTCAATAAGCAGTAGTTGTATTGAAAGAAAAAAAGGTACAGACATACCGAATATTTCCAGAAGGATATATACACTAATATCAACAAAAGTTAATTTGGGGTAATAATTCTTTATATTTATTTGAATTTTCTAGTTTTGCTATAATAAATATGTAAAATATATAAAATGTTAACAAAGATTAATTATTAATAGCTTAATATTTTCTATTTTTGTTGGCATTCTCTAATTTTTGCCAGTTAGTACAGTAAAAAAAAATTTTTAATGATATCACTAACCATTTAATGATGTAAAAAGCCATTCACCATGTATTAATGAGTAAGAGCAGATTAGAACTCAGTACACATAGCAGCGTGGGGGAGGGAGAAAAAGGAAAAAAATCAGTAGGTACATATAGCACAGCCTACTTTAAAAGAGTAGGAGATAAAAGGAAGGAAGGAGGGAAAGGATATACACAAAACTATTATGAATGGCTGGATTACGGGTAATAGCTCTTTTATCCTTACCCACAGTTCATAAATCATCTTTTTTTTAAGTAAATTCTACGCCCACTGTGGGACTCAAACTCACAACTCTGAGATCAAAAGTTCCACGCTCTACCAAATGAGCCAGCCAGGCGCCCCAGCCATGGTTCATAAATTTCTTGAATATATTACTTTTGTAAAGAGAAAATTATTAAAACATTACTCAACATATCTAAAATTGAGTTCACATCCTCCTCCACAAACCTCGCTTTGTAAATGGCACCATCATTCAATCCCCCAAACTACAGTTGTTCCAACCTCCTTCCTCTTCCTTGCATCAGTCACCAAATCCGTCAGATTTTACTGTCTCTCGTAGTCTTCCATCCTTATGGCTTTAGTGCAAACTCTCAGATTTTCAACTGTAATAGGCTTCTATCTCCAAGTCTTGACTTCCCTGTCTCCAGTCTCAACCCCAAGCCACTGTCCACACTGTGAAGGATGACATTTCTGACACAGGCCCAGTCAGGTGATTCCTGCTGCTGACAATACACTACCTCCCCATCGCTGCCCAGAGAAAAAGCCAAAACCCTCTGCCTTTGCCTCTGGCTTCATCTCCCACCAAGCCCCTCAAGCCATGATCCAATCCTGGGTATGCTTTCCCACAAATCAGCACCCTTTCATTCTACTTCCTCAATACCAAGTGCCTGCCCTCCCTCTTCTCTTTCTGGCTAAACACTACTCATCTTTTAAAACTCTGCTCAAGTATCACCTCCTGGCTAGAAGCTTTCTCTGACTGCCTCCACTCCCTCCAGCCAGTATGTGAGGCATGCTTCTTTGTGGCCTTCATTTATCTCTGCAAAGCATGGAATTTCCCTGTTGACTTGTCTATCTTGCCCATTGTGCTGGGAGCCTTCGAAGGCAGAAGTTGTCTCTTTTCTGTTTGATGATATTACAGATTACTTTTATTTGCTTCTTTTTCTTATCTGCATGTTTTCCCTCTCCTTCTTTTAATTATATAAATAAAGCTTGTTGGGAAAGACTCAAGCAATATAGAAGCATAAAGTAAAATTATCTGGATTTTCTAAGTCGTATGCGTAGCCAATCTCTGAAACTCAGTAAACCCCCAACAAAAGGCTATTGAGTAAATGACTAAGACAGCACAATGCAGGGCAGTAATCCAAGAGGTTACAGAGAGCCAAGGATATATTCTGGGTCCTTGCATCCCACTATAACCAGAGCAGCTCTGCTTTTATCTACTTCACTTATTAGACTTCCATCTAAGTGTAATTTCCATGTAAAATTTCATCCAGAAAGGGGGTTCATACATATCCTCAAACAAAATGTCTAAAAACAAGAACTTATGGAAAAAAACAAGTTGGCAGACCTAACTCTAGTCCTAGTTCTAAAATAAATTAGCTACGCAAATCACTTTTCCTCTTTAAGGCAGTACTTCTCATCTGTTAAATACCTAACACACACATACACCAACACTTTAGGGCACTATTTCTCATCTGTTATATAACAACCCCCTCCCCCCAAGGTATTCATTCCCTAAGTTCCTTTCGCTTCTAAATTTTACAAAATTGAATAAAGCAGGGACACCTGGTTGTTTCAGTCAGTAGAGCATGCAGTTCTTGATCTCAGGGGTGTGAGTTCAATGTAGAGATTACTTAAAAATAAAATCTTAAGGGGTGCCTGGGTGGCTCAGTCAGTTAACTGTCCAACTCTTGATTTTGGCTCAGGACATGATCTTCAGGGTCGTGAGATCGAGCCCCATGTCGGGCTCTGTGCTCACCTTGGAGTCTGCTTGAGATTCTCTCTCTCCTTCTGCCCCCTCCCTACTCTCTCTCTCAAAATAGTAATACCTTTTTAGGGTGCCTGGGTGGCTCAGTTGGTTAAGCGACTGCCTTCGGCTCAGGTCATGATCCTGGAGTCCCTGGATCGAGTCCCGCATCGGGCTCCCTGCTCGGCAGGGAGTCTGCTTCTCCCTCTGACCCTCCCCCCTCTCATGTGCTCTCTCTCATTCTCTCTCTAATAAATAAATAAAATCTTTAAAAATAATAATAATAATAATAATACCTTTTTAAAAATTAAAAAATAAAATAAAAAAAAATAAAAATTAAAAAAAAATGAGACACAGCACCCAGGTTGCTTCTTTCTCATGTGACACCAGATATCACAATCCACATATAGTAAAAGCGGTTGCCTACTTGGTTCAGAAACCACACTGCTTTTTTGTCCTCCCATTATCAAACCTTTAAGTCTTCTTAATAGTATTTTCCAGAAATTCCTTTCTTTTTTGATGGGCTGATAGACTTGATGGACTTGGCTTTAGGATGAACTGTTTGGAGTAGAAGAGGAGGAGATGAATAGTAGCAAGAAACAACCACTAGGAGTTGCCATCCCTTTCCTCAATGATGCCAGAGAAATGCTGTACTGACCTTTATAGAACAAATAGTTTTAGGGGCAAAAGACAAGTTCCTACTGTGATGTGACCTGTCCAAATCTCCATTTAGACTGAACCAGGAAAAGAAAACAAGATAAGCCATTACAGTACTAAGAGGATCTCTCAGAAATCAGAACTAGTTAATGAAGGCAGACTTCACTTAGCTATTCTCTATCTTTCTACACCACATATCTTTGAGTAGAGTATGCCTTACACCAGGAAGCCCTAAGTATCCATGAAGGTTCTGAGAGACCCAGGTGGAAAGATTACCTACCTGATTAGAAGTGGGCGGTGGAGGAGGACCAGGGGGCGGTGGAGGGGGTGGAGGAATTGGCATCCTTGCCCTGCTCGCAGTTGGCACTGCTTTCTCTCCGTTTTAATTTGCAGCTTTAGGTCACTCATATACCTGCAATGAAATGTAAATTCAATGAGAACAACTCTGCCATCAGAAACACTGAGTACCCAGGAGAATTAGGGGACAGGGCATGACATGAGAGAGAAACTAAGCACCTCATCCCCTAGTTCCTCTGTGATAGAGTCCAGGGCTTGGTAAACTTTTTTTGTAAAAGGCCAGATAATAAATACTAATAGTGGGGCACCTGGGGGGCTCAGTCTGACTCTGGATTTTGGCTCAGGTCATGATCTCAGGGTCGTGAGATCAAGCCCCGCATTAGGCTCTGTGCTGGGTGTGGAGCCTGCTTAAGGTTCCCTCCCTCTGCCCCTCTCCCTCTCCCTAAAAAAAAAAAAAAATTAATATTTTAGGCTTTACAGGCCACATATGGTCTCTGTCACATTTTATTCTTTATTTTGACATTTTTTTTAATAATAAGGCTTTATTTTTTAGAGCAGTTTCAGGTTCACAGCAAAATTGAGCAGAAAAGTACAGAGAGTACCCATATACTCCTGTTTCCCCTACACACACACACACACACACACACACGGCCTCCCCCACTATCTACATCCTGCAGTTGGACATTTGATACAATCGATACCTCATTACCACCCAAAGTCAGAGAGATCCAGTCTCTGGATGGCGACAAAATGGTAGCCAGGTTTTTTCTACAGTTGGGTGACCATGGGTCTGCCATCTAGTTTCTTGTTATGCCCATATGTAATAATGAAGCTTTCACACTGGCTCAGCAGCACAACAAAATGGAAACCTATGCAGACATTATTGGTTCTGAAGATAACCACTAATGAAGACTATGAAAGCATCGCCTTATATTTTAAAGGAGAAAAAAGACATTTTCAGGCTGGAAAATTCTTCTTGCTGTGTAGCCAATATTCACGAGCACTTAAACATTTCCTCAAATGTCCAAGCTCAGAAGATAATACGGCAACAGAAATGGCAACTGAAACTGTTGGTCAGGCCAAAGATGAACTGCTGACCAGTCTGCCAACAGACCATCTGATGGGAGAGAGTGATGGCATGCCTAAGGATGCCAAGTACCTGTTCCGCTTGTACATGGCCCTGAAGCAATACCGAGAGACCGCCTGGACCACCATCATCATTGCCAGAGAACAGCAGTCTGCCGGAAACTATCAGAATGCTCACGACCTTCTCTTTAGCATGTATGCAGGACTTAAATCCCAGATCAAAATTCCCTCTGAGATGGCCACCAACCTCATGATTCTGCACATATGATTCAGCATCTTCTGTACTAGTGAAGATTCATGTTAAAAACGGAGATCATATGAAAGGGGCACGTACGCTTATTCGGGTGGCCAACATCAGCAAGTTTCCGTCACACATTGTGCCAATCCTGACGTCCATGGTGATCGAGTGTCACCGAGAAGGCCTCAAGAACTCTGCTTTCAGCTTTGCAGCCATGTTGATGAGGCCTGAGTACCACAACAAAATAGATGCCAAATACAAAAAGAAGATCGAGGCCATGGTCAGGAGACCTGATACATCCGAGACAGAAGAGGCCACAACCCTGTGTCCATTCTGTGAATTTTTTCTCCCAGAGTGTGAACTCCTCTGTCCTGGATGTAAAATAACATCCCATATTGCATTGCAACAGGTCAACACATGTTGAAGGATGACTGGACTGTGTCCACATTGCGACTTCCCTGCTCTATACTCAGAATTTAAGATCATGTTAAACACTGAAAGCACATGTCCTATGTGTTCAGAAAGATTAAACTTCGCTCAACTAAAAAAATCTCAGACTGTACCCAGTACCTGCGAACAGAGGTGGAGCAGTGAGTGGCCTGTGCAGGAGGCCAAGTTTCTACCCCTGGTGGTTTCTAGATACAGAAAAAAGAAAGACTCTCAGGTCATAGACACTGTACAGTTGCCATTGTAGAGTGGCAAAACAGTGACATATAGCCTTGCTGTTTATTATACTTCATAGAGTTCCTATTCAAAGTCTTACATATTCTATGCTCTACACTGTTAATAGTAGCCCATGATGTAACTATAAATATTCAACTTTTTGATAACCTTTATATTTTGAAATATCTCCTTTAAAATAAAATCGTTGATTAGATATTGGCAACCTGTATTTTATATATTTGGACAAATGTATAATGACAACTACACACATTGTAGCATCATACAGAATAGTTTCACTGCCCTAAAAATCTGTGTCTGCCTATTTATCCCTCCTTTCCCCCAACCACTGGTCCTTTTTCCTGTTTCCATAGTTTTGTCTTTTCCAGAATGTCATACAGTTGGAATCATATAATATGTAGCCTTTTTCAGATTGGCTTCTTTCAATTAGTAATACTCATTAAGTTTCCTCCATGTCTTTTCATGACTTGATAGCTCTTTTCTTTTTAGTGCTGAATAATATTCCATTGTTTGGATGTACAACAGTTTGTTTATCCATTCACCTACTGAAAGACATCTTCGTTGCTTCCAAGTTTTAACTAATTATAAATAAAGCTGTTATAAATATTCTTGTGCAGGTTTTTGTGGGGACATAAATTTTGGCTCATCTGAGTAAATACCACTGACTGTGATTGCCAGATCCTATGGTAAAGAGTTACATTGTATAATAAACTGCCAAATTGTCTTCCAAGTGGTTGTACTGCTTTGCATTCCCACCAGCAATGAAGGAGAGTTCCTGCTGCTGCACATCCTTGCCAGCATTTGGTGCTCTCAGTGTTTTAGATTTTGGCCATTCTAATAGGTCTGTAGTAGTGCAATTTCACTGTTGTAATTTTTCAATTCTCTGATGACATATGAAGTTGAACTTCTTTTCATACGCTTACTTCCCATCTGTGTATTTTCTTCAGTAAGGTGTCTGTTTAGGTCTTTTGCACAGTTTTCAATATGGTTGTTTTCTAATTGTTGAGTTTTAAGAATTCTTTGTCTGTTTTGGATAACAGTCCTTTATCAGATGTGTCTTTTGCAAATATTTTCTCCCAGTGTGTGGCCTGTCTTCTCATCCTCTTGATTTTTACATTTTAAAACTACATTTTTAGGGGTGCCTGGGTGGCTCAGTCGTTAAGTGTCTGCCTTCGGCTCAGGTCATGATCCCAGGGTCCTGGGATCGAGCCCCGCATCGGGCTCCCTGCTCGGCGGGAAGCCTGCTTCTCCCTCTCCCACTCCCCCTGCTTGTGTTCCCTGTCTCACTGTGTCTCTCTCTGTCAGATACATAAAAATTAAAAAAAAAAAAAAAACCTACATTTTTACGTTTTAAAAATGTAAAAACCATTCATGGTTCATGGGCATTATTAAAACAGACTATGGACCAGATCTGATTCGTGGGCCACAGTTTACTGACTCCCAGTATAGTCACATCCTTGGAATCTGATCAGAGCATAAATACCATGTGAGGATTTAGCTACTTATCAGGTCACAAAAAAAACTATACAGCTGTCCTCCTGTTACAGTCTGCTAGTGATCCGCACTTTACAAATGAGACAAACCAGGGAACTGTCTTGCCCTAAGACATTAAAGTGGGGGGCAAAAATAAAACTAAAACTCAAGAACAATAATTCACCCAAAAAGCTGTTCCAAGGAAATCCCACTTCTTGCTCCCCCCTCCAAATCAGAGCCAAAATAACATTATCACTGGGAATACAACTTACAGATGACAAGAAAGGTTCAAGACACGGTAATCAACTTCACGAATTAATCCAGGGAAGAACTGCTTCCAAGCACGGTGATTAATGAGATTAGGACACAGGAAATCTCACAGGTGGCCCCTAGCACAGATGAGAGGCCACGTGCACCAAGCCAAGCCTAAAAGATCAAACCAGCATGGCAATCCACTGAGGAAGTTTGGTTCTGAACTCTTGACACAGGTGATCACAATTTCCCTGTGAATAAAGGAATAACCACTTAAACATTTCCCTCAATGCTCTCAAAACCATTTAAACACTTTCTCAATGATGAAAGTAAAGGGCAAATATTCCAAAGGTTCTAAAAACCAAGAACCTTTAGAGGCAGGTAGAATTTATCAGAAACATGACTGTGAAGGTCTTCATAATCTTAACCCTTCCAATAATGCCACTACAGACTGGATGCCCAAAAGAGCTTTTTGCTCCAATCACAAAGAACTGGACAGTACACTTTGGACAACTAGACTTTGGCTAAATGGTTCCCATGGGGAATGGTGTCTGAACTCACTTCAAGAATTGAGCAGCTGACCATCCTTCAAGGGAAAACACCTTCTGATGTCTGGTTTCAAAGCTAAGTCTAGTTTTTCTTTGCCAGGGATCATACTAGACTTTAAAAACTGATCAAGGGCGCCTGAGTGGCTCAGTTGGTTAAGTGACTGCCTTCGGCTCAGGTCATGATCCCGGAGTCCTGGGATCGAGTCCCACATCGGGCTCGCCCTGCTCTGCGGGGAGCCTGCTTCTCCCTCTGCCTCTTCCTGCCACTCCCCTGCTTGTGCTCTCTCTCTCTGTGTCAAATAAATAAATAAATATTTTAAAAAAATAAAAATAAAAACTGATCAAAACCGGGGCACGTGGGTGGCTCAGTTGGTTAAGTGTCTGCCTTCGACTCAGGTCATATCTCAGGGTCCTGGGACTGAGCCCTGCTTCTCCCTCTCCTGTTGCGCGCCCCCCCCCCCCACCTTATGGTCTTTCTAATAAAATCTTTTTTTTTTTTTTTTTAAGATTTTATTTATTTGACAGAGAGAGACACAGCGAGAGAGGGAACACAAGCAGGGGGAGTGGGAGAGAGAGAAGCAGCCCTCCTGCCGAGCAGGAAACCTGATGCGGGATGGATCCCAGGACTCTGGGATCATGACCTGAGCTGAACGCAGATGCTTAACGACTAAGCCACCCAGGTGCCCCTCAAATAAATAAAATCTTAAAAAATAAATAAAAATTGATCAAAACAGTAAATCCTCATGATCCATCTATAATGGGGGGGCATGCAAATTTAAAATAAAAGGAAGAGGGGCGCCTGGGTGGCTCAGTTGGTTAAGCGACTGCCTTCGGCTCAGGTCATGATCCTGGAGTCCCGGGATCGAGTCCCGCATCGGGCTCCCTGCTCAGTGGGGAGTCTGCTTCTCCCTCTGACCCTCCTCCCTCTCATGCTCTCTCTCTCTCATTCTCTCTCTCAAATAAATAAATAAAATCTTAAAAAAATAATAAATAAATAAATAATAAAATAAAATAAAATAAAAGGAAGATATAGAGAAAAACACTTTCTTCTGTCTGAATTCTCTGGGTTCACTCTGACAGTTCCCCCAAAGCATTTTTTTAAAAAGCTAGCAGAGGGGCATCTGGGTAGCTCAGTTGGTCAAGCATCTGACTTCGGCTCAGGTCATGATCTCAGGGTCCTGGGATCGAGACCTGTGTCGGGTTCTGCACTCGGTAGGGAGTCTGCTTGTCCCTCTCCCTCTCTCCCTTCTCCACTACTCATGCGCTCCCCTCTCTCTCTCCCAAATAAAATCTTTATTTTTACTTTATTTTATTTATTTATTTGACAGAGAGAGACACACCGAAAGAGGGAACACAAGCAGAGGGAGCGGGAGAGGGAGAAGCAGGCTTCCTGTGGAGCAGGGAGCCCGACATGGGGCTCGATCCCAGGACCCTGGGATCGTGACCCGAGCCGAAGGCAGATGCTTAATGACTGAGCCACTCAGGCGCCCCTCAAATAAAATCTTTAAAAATAAAAAATAAAAAGCTAGCAGAAAACAATAGGAAATAATAATAATCTATTCAGAAACAAACATTTTCAACTAATTCCAGTCACCTCAGTTCCTGCCTTTTCTGAGTTTCCAGTTCTACCTACCTTTGCCATTGCCAGGACTGAAATGGTCTCCTAGAATGATCGGGAAAAGAGACTCAGACAAGTCCCTAATTCTTTTCATATCCACAGGTAATCCAACCTACATGCTACAAAGTAAGAAATCACTTAGAGGAACAACCTTATGCCTAACAGTGAGCACCGTTTATAAGGCAAAACAGTAATTCTCTAGCAAGGCACATCTTTTTTTTTAAAGCAATCCACTGGAGGGGCGCCTGGGTGGCTCAGCTGGTAAGCAACTGCCTTCGGCTCAGGTCATGATCTTGGAGTCCCGGGATCGAGTCCCGCGTCGGGCTCCCTGCTCGGCGGGGAGTCTGCTTCTCCCTCTGACCCTCCTCCCTCTCATGCTGTCTCTCATTCTCTCTCTCGCAAATAAATAAAATCTTAAAAAAAAAATTTTTTTTAAAGCAATCCACTGGAAAAGACCACTAATATAATGCACAGTTACAGATGCCTTCTTAAAATAGGCCCAATTCAAACTCCAATTTCAAAATAGACCCACTTAAAAGAAAAAAAATCACCTTCATCAAGAGACAGGCTTTTGTGCTAACAACCAGCAGTGCTTCTCAACCTTTCTTCTGCCTCCACAAAGACTGCATGAGTGACATGCTATTATTGACACTGAGTATGCAATGATACACTATGGCTGAGTATCACTGCTTCCCATTTTACGGGTGAGGACACTAAAGCTCCAGAAGTGGGAGCAATCGCATGCATGCACACTAGAGAGAAAGACTGATCTAAGGGCACCTACCCAAGATCATTCTGTAGCAAACTGCAGATTTAGGACTCAAATCTAGATCTTCTGATCCCCTGCTATTTCACTAATCACCCCAAAAAACATTTGCAATGGAAACTGGTTTGGTGTAGCAATTTCCTACTATTTTCCCCAAATGAAAATTCAACCCACCCTAAATTTCTATTTTATTAATAGAATACAAACAGCTCTTTCTATGTTTCCCAAGAGCAGCCCAACTTAAGTAAATTTACGTTAATACAACATTCCTTCCCCTGAAAATCCCCAAAAGCTTTATTCAAACTAATTTAATATTGATACAATCACTAAACCAAAGCAGAGGGTCTGCTTTGAGAACTACCTTTAGTTAAAAACAAGTAAACCAAAAACCCTTCATAAAGTTTTATAACAGAATGACAATTTTTTTTAAGTAGGCTCCATGCCCTGCATGGAGCCCAATGCAGGGCTTGAACTCACAACCCTGAGATCAAGACCTGAGCTGATATCAAGAGGCAGACACAAAACCAACTGAGTCACCCAGGTGCCCCACAGAATGACAAATTTTAGTGACCAACTACTTTTATTTATTTTTATAAAAAGATTTTATTTAGGGGCGCCTGGGTGGCTCAGTCATAAGCATCTGCCTTCGGCTCAGGTCATGGTCCCAGGGTCCTGGGATTGAGCCCCGCATTGAGCTCCCTGCTCGGAGGGAAGCCTGCTTCTCCCTCCTCCACTCCCCCTGCTTGTGTTCCCTCTCTCGCTGTGTCTCTGTCAAATAAATAAATAAAATCTTAAAAAAAAAAAAAAAAGATTTCATTTATTTATTATTCATTTGAGAGAGAGAGCACAAGTGGAGGGGAGAGGCAGAGGGAAAGGGACAAGCAGACTCCCCACTGAGCAGAGAGCCTGATGTGGGACTTGATCCCAGGACCTGGAGATCATGACCTGAGCCAAAGGCAGACGGCCCACTGACTGAGCCACCCAGGCACCCCGACCAACTACTTTTAATCAAAGGACAAATTCAGTCCTCTGGAAGCACTGTGTACTGCAATTTTTTAAAAAGTAACATTCCTGGGGCGCCTGGGTGGCTCAGTCGTTAGTCTGCCTTCAGCTCAGGTCGTGATCCCGGGGTCCTGGGGTCGAACCCCACATCAGCAGGAAGCCTGCTTCTCCCTCTCCCACCCCCCCTGCTTGTGTTCCCTCTCTGTCAAATAAATAAAATCTCTTAAAAAAAAAAAAAAACATTCCTGAGATTAAACCTAAGAAGAAAAAAAAGGGTTCTTTCCAGAATTTTAAGTATTTCCTTTCTGATCTTTTAAATTAGAACTACAAACCTCACCATCTGTGTTCTTCAGAGTCCTTGATTTTCAGAAATATTGTGAGGCTGCCTCCAGCTCAGCAACACACCAATTCTCATTACCTTTTTAAGCCCTTCTATCTTAGAAACCGTGATAGAATAAGCTATTCACATCCTCAGGAGTCAGTTTCTTTGAAATCAAGTTCAGAG